CTTAGGAAGATCCGCTCCACCTTTCCCTCAGAGCTGCCACCTCAATGTCTCCCTTCTCCCTTTCTGCCTTCAGACCAGTCCCTGAATCAGCTCCTTCTCTCCACCCCGCTGTTAGGGCCCAGGGCTCTCTGGTCTCAAAAGCCTGAGATGCTACCTTTGTTCACCTGCACCCTCAGCTGCCAGTCACACCTTTCACAGCCCCGGTCTCTACAACACAGCTCAGACATCACTTTCCTGTTTTTAAACCAATTATTTAATTAAAATGCTTTATTATGGTTAGGATGGGCATTGCACAGTAAAATAGCTTTCCGTTCAACAATTTTGATCCATTTTGTTTCGTGCAAGGAGTTGTCACCTCCCCAAGGGGACACCACTCTTCCTGCTTCTTCCCTTGGTTTTCTGTATCCAGCCCTGCAGCCTTTCTTCCTTCTGGGCTTTGGTTTGGGGCACTTGCTGCCCTATTCTTGGGGCTCCTATGGTCGGCTTTACTGAGGCCTAAGCTGCACCCTGCTCTTAGGATGCACTTCATACGTGCCTGTCTATTGTGTGGATGAAAGGTGATCCCAGGGGATGGACTGACTTCTTTTTAGGCTTGAAGGATGCCGAAGGGTCACCACCTTCAGGGACCCACCAGTCCCTATCATCAGACCAGTAAGTCTGCTCTTTGTTGATGATTCCCCCAACTGTCTCTGAAGTTCAAGTTCCTTAGCATGAGATGCCAGCTCTCCTGCTTGGCTGACTTTACCTCCTCCCAGGTTTCCTGGGGAGCCCCCGTGCCACAACGGCTAACCATTAGCCACTAACCCAAAGTGCGTGTGGCGGTTACATAATTTGATGTCGACTTGGAGATATATAATAGCATAGGGGTGATAGTCAACCTGTCAATCAGGACGCAGGCTGATGGTGACTCCTTGCAGGCGTGGCCTTCTCATTAGGAGGGTCCTGGGAACCTCCCTCTCTCTGCCTTCCCCCTCCTGATGGCTGACCCCGGTTGCTGTGAGTGCCTGTGAGGCTGCTACCGCCATTGGATCCACGCGACTTTGTACCTGCCAGCCTGTGATCTTCCTGCATTCTGCATCAGTGCATGTGGCTGCGTGAGTCTGAGGAGGGACTTATGGAGGATTATTGGACCTATGGACTTGACTTGGACTAGGCTGCGATGTCTTCTTGATATAGAATCATTTCTTGTTATAAAGTTTTCTCCTACACGTCTATGAATGTCACTGGATTGGTTTCTCTAGTCAACCTGGCCTAACACCATGGGTGATTTGAACTCACCAGTGCCTCCATGGGACAGGAGACCCGCCAAACTTCTCCTAGGAAGCCCTATGGACCAGGTCTACTCTGTCATACGGGGTCACCATGAGTCCAGAACAGACTCTAATACACACACCAGCCTTTCCCCTGGAATGTCCTCCAAACAGCAAAATTCTCATTCAGTGGATGCATGGCACTGTGCCCTATCGTGGTTCTCTCTTCCCAGTTAGTGCCCCCTCTGACCCCTCTCCTATCGGAGCCTGCCGGGGCTCATTCAAATAACACCTCCGAGCAGAGCGTGGCCACCTCCCAGTCCAAATGCACCCCTCTCCTCTCACTTCATTACATCGCCCCAGCACACTCTGACTTTCATTCTGTGTATGCTTGATGGTCAGAGGTATTTCCTCATAGTCTGTGGGGCAGAGAAGGGAATACAGCCGAGCTCTCCCCCACTAGACATCAAAGACTGCTGCGGGTCTGGATGTCAGGGGGCGGAATAGGCACTAGAAGAGTTGATTTGAGAGGCAGTCTTTCTGAGATACTGCTTGCTAAGATCGAGTGGGCTTGGGAATCTGGGAGTCTATAAACCACCTCTGGTTATTTGCATGGAAGAGGTCTGAAAGTCGTATTTTATTAAAAAAAGACTTTTTACAGCCTACTTGATGGGCTATAAGAAATATAGCCTTATATACACTGGTATACGTAAGATCTCTCAAGACAGGGAATCCAGGACAGATAAACCCCTCAGGACCAATAATGAGAGTAGTGATAACAGGAGGGGAAGGGGAAGGTGGGAGGAGAAAGGGGGAACCGATCACAATTATCTACATATAAACCCCTCCCAGGGGGATGGGCAACAAAAAAGTGGGTGAAGGGAGACAGCAGTCAGTGTAAGAAGTGAAAGAACATCAAATTATCAAGGGTCAGTGAAGGAGGGGGTGGGAATGAGCTGATACCAAGGGTTCAAGGAGAAAGAAAATGTTTTGAGAATGATGATGGCAACATATATACAAATGTGCTTGACACAATGGATGAAAGTGTGGATTGTGATACGAGCTGTAAGAGCCCCCAATAAAATGATTTTTAGAAAAGAAGAAATGTAGCTGTATTGATAAGCTATAGAAAGTCCTTCCGTCAGTGAGGAGCCCCGGTGGCATCGGTGCTTATGTTGGGCTTCGAACTGTGGGGCCCCTAGCTACTCCGCAGGAGTCGAGATGAGGCTGTCTATTACCACAAAGTGTTACAGTCTCAGAAACCCCCCAGGGACAGAGTTCTACTCTGTCCTGTAGGGTCCCTCTAAACGGAAGCTGACTCGATGGCAGTGAGTTGGGTTTTTGATCTCGAGCCTACCAGCAACTTCCCTCCAGCTGCTGCTGCTGGGTGCGATGGAGCAGACCCAGACCCACAGGAACTCACATGACAGAGCAGAGCTGCCCCACAGGGGCTCCTAGGGGGAACTCTTTACAGAATCCTGTCACCTGGTCTATCTCCTGTAGAACCACTGGCTGGATTTGAACCGTCAACCTTCTGGTGAGCGGCCACACACGTTACGTAACTCATTAGTCAGTGAGCCACAAGGGCGCAATATCAAAATATGTGGAATCAGTCTGATTTTCCAAAGCTAACAGGAGGGGAGGGGTGGGGGTGGGATGGGATGGGAGGGGATAGAAGAGAATCCAGCCCTTCGGTCTCACGCATGCAAACTGAGCAAAGCTCCCCTCGCCGAAACCTGGTGGCATGTCCTCCAGTTCTGTCTTTAGGCTAGAGCATGCTCTCCTTGGCTTCGGGTCTCTTTTATAAAATATGCATGTGGGCATGCATGTGTGTGAGATGTCACCTATTGGGCACACAGGCCCTTGGCAGCAGTAAGCAGCAATGGCACGGTCAGCATGCTCTCCCCTCGGCCGCTGCATAATTGTAAGCTATTCACAATTGTTCCATTTCAGTCTGGCACCATCCACAACCCACTTGGTCCCCTTTGCACTGTGGAGGGGAGGCCCCAGCCGCCGCCCATGTGGTATGCATTTAGAGTGGCTTTGCTAGCACAGGGCTGACAGACGCCAACTCGGCCGCTCTCAACACCTGCTGCCTCTGTCTCTTGAGGGGATAAGCACTCGAAATCTACTTGCTAGAGCATCCGTGACAAGGACATTCAGTGGCTAGTGCATTCCTTGGAAGCACGGTTCACTGGTCCTCACAGCTTAAATGCAAGGCTCCGACTAAGACTCAAATCCATTGCTGTTGCATCGACCGGACTCCCAGCGACCCTATAGAGCACAGTAGACCCGCCCCATATTGTTTCCGAGGCTGGAAATCATTAAAGAAACAGACGCTGTCTCGTTGTTCCCCTGAGAGTGACGGGTCGGTTTGAGCCGCTGACTTTTGGGGTTAGCAGTCCAGTGCTTAACCGCTGTTTCACCAGGATTCCTTAACTGAGATACGGGGACTTTTCATTCTAACCATCTGTCCCTCTTCATTGGTTAACTCTATGGGGCCCTGGGCAGTTGTTTGGGCCACGGTCTGATACCCAGGGCCAGCCCAGAGGCTACTGAAGAAAAGACAGAGAGAGAGGATGACTTGACTCCCCTGCCCCAGGCCTAGGCAGGGCTGTCAAGATTTGTAGCCCCGCACTCCATTTTCCTGGAGGCCTGGACGTGTGGATCCTTCCCTGCCTCCAATACCTGTCGCAGCGTTTGGCCACCCAGTGGGCAGAGAAGGCCAGGTGAGTGAGATGTGCAGCTTCCAGCGTGGGCCAGCATGGGTCTCTCCCACCCAAGTCCCCAAGCCCTCCCCTTCTTCCTGCCGGCAAAACACAAGGCAGGGCGAAGAGGCTGGCCCAAGCCCATGCTGCTGGCCCCTATGTTTCTTTCTAACATTTGGATTCATTCTAGTCCAGCAGCAAAACTATCCCATCAGCTGGTTACATCATCACTCAAACCCCACCAAACCCACAGCGTTTGGATGGACCCCCACTTCTGGCAACTCTACAGGGGAGAACAGGGCAGCGACAGAGAGCTTCTGAGGCTGAAAATCTCCATGGAAGCAGATGGCCCTATGGTTCTCCTGTGCAGCAGCTGATGACTTCGAACCACTGACCTTGCAGTTAGCATTCCCGGACCCTAACCCATGGCGCCCCCAGGGCCCATTCACCACAGGGCCTGGAAGTCAGCATGCCTGGCCTTCACTACGGAAAGATGTGGAAGAACGGTGGCAGAGAGAGAAGAGGATGTCTACTCCCGCAAGCTCTCAGAGACTCCCGGGCAGTTTGCGGGTCACTATGGGTCAACAGGGACCTGATGGCAGTGCGTTGTGAGCGAGCGGAGGGATGGCTGCTCTTCTCAGGGGGGCAGGGGCGAGGAGGACCAGGATGCCTCCCATGTGTCTCGGACAGCAGTCTAAGCATTCCGCAAGGAAAGCACGACACCGGAGGAGTCAAGAGGTAGTTCAGATATGTTTCAACCACGTGCTAGAAACGCCACAGTGCGGGCAGTAACGGGGGTCTCCTATCAAGATATACGGCTTCATAATTTCATGGGGTTATTCAGAATGATCTGCGATGATTGCAACCATGTGTGGGGAGCTGGGCTTCTGCAGGATGTTCCTCAGCGACAAAGGGGCCTCAAGACGGATGAGGGCTGCCTGCTCTGCGCGGAGATGATGGACTTCGGTCCACTTCCCAGACATAAACAGCGCAGGAATGTCATTGAAGTGCGGGCGCTATCAGAGGGGCGGAGAGGGCTTACCACGTTGTACAAGCCGATGCACCAGCGTTCAAACAGAATCTGCCCGGAAAATCCATTCACGAAGGCGAACCACAGCTGAAAGAGAAGAAAGGGCGTGGGGTTTTATATCAATATTGACCTAAATGTTTCCACTCACTGAAGGAGGGGCAGGGGAATGCAGACCACCAGCTGGACACATCTGCTGTGGAGGCAATCGCCGCAGGCCCACAGCCACGGTCAGTGGTAAAAGCGCAGCCCCCTAACGGCAAACATCTCGAGGACGAGATTGAGGAGGGGACGTCAACGGCGTAGGAGAGGACCGGGGCACACTTGGACAGACAGACAACTCGTTTCTGCCCAGTCTGCCCAGAGTCCACCCTTTTCTCATGGACTGAAGGGGAAAAAATGCAAGTGTCATTTCATGTTCTCGGTCTTCTTAGGGGGCTGACTGCATGAGACGCGGTTTCTCTCTCGGCGGGGCATTCCAAAGAGATCCAACTTGCGAAGTATAACTGAAACGACACTCAGATGGGTTGTGTAACAACAGGCTCCAAAATGCGTGTGGGGGTTAAAAAATCCTTCCATTGACCCCCATACGTAATGGACCCTTCTCGTTTCACATTCATGACATAGCGACCCGAGAGCGTCTCAGAGGCTGCCAATCTCCCACTCAAGCTTCGTTCAGCTATCTCCCGGGTGCGTCCCAAGAGGCCTGGCTAATCTCATGGGTGGAGAACTGAGCGTCAAAGGTTCATTCTGGGTCGCTGACTCAGAATGGTCTTACAACACTCATCCTTCAAACGACAATGAAAGTCCTCCGCACCGCGCCAAGCCTCCGCAACGAACTGGGAGCTGAACCAGACCCGTATTGCAGCGAGAGTCTGGGGGCACACATGATGAAGACGTGTTTGTGGAGGATTTGCAGTCTTCTGTTCAAACGATTGAGAAAGCATGAAGAGGCACCTGCTGCTGTGAGGGGCTGTTGAGTCGATGCCAGCGCTTGTTGTTAGGGGCCGTCACGTTGTGCAACCCTCTGCACAAGAAGACGAAACACTGCCCCGTCCGTCATCCTCACAACTATTCCCATTGTGCTCGCTCGAGCCCATTGGTGCAGCCATGGCCTCCATCCGTCTCAAAAGAGAGGAAAGCCCTTCCAGGTTCATTGAAAATGGTCATTTCTTCTATGTTCTTTTCTTTTTCAACGCTGTTTTCAGTCGAAATGATGGGGATGTTCCTCTTCGTTGCTGCCCGCTGCTTTACTGAGCAGGATGTGACTCCAGGAATGCTCTCTCCTGACAACATGGCCAAAGTTCGTGAGACAGATTAGCTGCCCAACTCAGAACTGCTATGCCACCAAGGTGCTATGCGAAAGCAGCCTCCTCTATGCAACCACGAGGTGTCGAAGGGATCAGGTGTAAGGCATCATCAGAACAAAAAATCTTACCATAGTGAATGATGGGGGGAGTGCGGA